GGCCCTTCCTCACAGAAGAAGTCAGGACTGTCTCAGCGCTGTGGGCAACAATGGGGTATGAATTCTTAGTTTTGTGCTTGCTGGGCAAAGGTTTTAAGCCACTGAGCCATTTTCTGAGCCTCCCTGATTTTAAAAGCCTGGCACTCCTTAACAACTTTGCTGATATATATGCAGATGAAATACAAGCTCCTTTTTTGGTCTGGTAGAATAAGCACTTAGGTATTTAACATTAGTTGCTGGGAAAGGGGTAAAAAAAAAAAAACCACCTGAAATTCCACACCGATAAAACATGTCTTGTTCTGTTTGGGAGATGCACCCAGCTATCTCTCCAGCCCTTAGAAGATACTTCTAGACAAGTATTCTTGTGGACCACCAGCAGTGTAATGAACTGAAACAATCAGTGGGCTTCAGTAGTGGTTCGGGGAACATGAAGGGAGGATCCTAAGACAACTGTGGAGGGAAGGGGACACTGGTGGAGGGTATGTTGTTGACTCATTGTATGCATGAAATACTACTACCAACAGTACTGTAAATCCTGGGACACAAATAAAATTTTTTTAAAAAGTAGAAAGTGGAAAAAAAAGTAGAAAGCACTGTTTAACAAATCAAAGGAATTTCAAAATCTGTCACTGTCACTGTTCTCCCTTTGTTCATTGATTTGCTCAAGCGGGCCCAGTAACGTCTCCACTGTGAGACTTGTTATTGTGTTTGGCATATCGAATATGTCACGGGTAGCTTGCCAGGCTTTGCCATGCGGGCGACATACTCTAAAAAGGAAAAATATCAATTTATGGCATGAATGTGACTCAGAGACATGTAAAAGGCTGTGCGTTTAATTCCTGATACCAAATGATCCCCCTAGCTTTACCAGGATTTCTGAGCACTGAGCAGTAGTTTCTGAACACTGCTGGGTGTGGACTCCCCCAGAAAAAAAGAGGGGCTGGAAAGCTAGCACAGGGATTAAGGCACTTGACCTGGTTCAATTCCCAGTATCACATATATATGGTTGTGTCAACACTGCCAGGGGTGAGCCTTGAGCAGGAAGTAGCCCCTGAGTATTGCCAGGTGTAGGCCACACACCCACCACACCCCCCAAAAGAATCAAAGGGAGTGGGGAAGGATGAATAGGCCTGATGAAAGAACAGAATAAATGAAATGTTGCAATAATGGGATGAGAGGGAGGAAATGACTCAGCCACCATTTGAGAGGGAGTACTAGTTAGGTGAGTTGTAGGTAATAAAATGGCTTGGGATAGCTCATTACCTACAGAGAACTAGATTCTAGAAACTCACTGCAGAGTGTCCACTCACTGCGGGAGTCATAAACACAAAGTACAGTATCAATACTGTAAAAAATATTTTCCCAACATAGGTCAAAGTCTTGGTGTACTTTCCTCTCAGTATGCTGGTCAGTTCTAAACATTGAAATTTATCTAATAGCTCATATGGTAGTGGGAAGAGCTCATAAAATGGGGCCAGAATTATAACTCAGTAGTAGAGCACATGCTTTGCATGGGTGAAGCTCTGGGTTGATCCTTGGCACCATATAGCCACACACATACAAAGCAAAAAAGATGATACTGAAGAGAAAAATATTTATATTTGTCTAATTATAAGTTATTTATCACATATATATTGAACATCTCACCATCACTGACACTTAATCAATAGCTGCGAATAAGAGGGCCCTGGACCCTGCCTCTCTATGTGGGTACCTGCAGGTAAATGACTATGATCTGGAACAACAAAAACAAAGAAAATATTACTGAATTTTATGGAACCAAATATGAATGTAGACATGTTTGGTTGGAAATTTTAAAAGAGGGAACCTACTTCTACTTGAAATCTCAAATACTACAGTTCGGGAGGGATGCGGACCATACAGAGGATGCAGCGGTATGCTGGTGACTTAAGAGATGGGGATGGTGGTGTGGGAACCCAGACTTTAAATTTACATGCAATGCTAAAGTCTAGCTTTTCTCAAAATTAATCATGAAATTTTGGAGGGTCTTCATCCAGTGGTGCTTGGGATCCTGGGACCACTTCCACTGATACTCAGCACAGCAGTCTGGGCCTCATGGTGCTGGAGGTCACCTGGGCTACACCTTGAGACCCTCCAGGAACATGTAGTGCAAGGGATGAAATCCTGAGACCCCAATCTTTACTTCTATGAGCTATTTCCCAGAGATAATAGGCCCCTAAATAAGGCCCCTAAGACCTTTTTAAGCAGCAAATGACAGGACCAGATCGAAATTTCAGGACCAATACTTGAGCCACCAATGGTAATGGGAAGTGGAAAAAGAGTAAAGGAGGGAAGGTTTAAACTAAGACATGCACCAGACTGGAGAGTGAGTAAAGGTAGTTGGCTTGCATGTGATCGAACCCAGTTTGTTCCTGCAACTGCATGATCCCCTGAGCACTGTCAGGAGTGACTCCTAAGAACAGAGGTAGGAGTAAGTGCTGAGCACTGCAGGGTGTGGCCCCAACTCCCTAACAAAAAAAATAAGACATGTGCCAGAGATGTGGTTCAGTGGAAGAGTGACCCCTTTGCAGCTGGGTTCAATCCCTGGCAATACATACATACAGTCCTTAAGAAATGAATGAATAAATAGATATAATGGAACGGATATGAAAAATGTTACTGAGAAAGACATTGGATGGGGGATAAGTTTGAATGTAGTACCATTTAACAAGGTAAGAGAAGAGTAGCAGAGTTGGTCATCCACCCTTTTAGAAAAAGGCGTGGAATAAAAATGTTTTTTCTCTTTTCTCTTTTTGGGCTTACACCCAGTGATGCTCGGGGGTTACTCCTGGGTTTGCCCTCAGGAATGACTCCTGGTGGTGCTCGGACCATATGGGATGCTGGGAACTGAACCCAGGTGGGCCGCATGCAAGGCAAATGCCCTACCGGCTGTGCTATTGCTCCAGCCCCCAAAATAATTTTTCTTGAACTCAATTTACCAGTGAGAATATTTTCTTCTCGTTGACACTAACACTATAAAGGTCAACTATACCCTGTCACCAATGTTCTTGGTGTATATGGGGCACATAGGACTTCAGGTATCAGAGTATTCTATACCTTAAAGACCAGCGCAAGAGGCTAAGGATGTGACTTGCTGGTAGACTACATGCCTACTATGTGTGGGGCCCTGGGTTAGATTTTGTTTGGAAATAAAAAAACCAGGACTGAACAAGCAAGTTTTATGTTGATTGCTATAAAATGGACAAACAGTACTTTTACAATATGTAGAAATAGTTCCCAATAATAATGTAACCTAAGAGTTCACTTAACGTATAAAAAAATTATGGCATGGTAGGTAACAAGTTCAACACATTCTTCATGAAACTATAGTAACAACAACAAAACCAAAATAGGATAAAATGTACTACTTTATTTCTTTGAAATTAAACCAAGTTTATGTCCCATTAATAAAATTCTATTGCTGGAAATAGATAAGAGTGGATTAGGTTCTTGTTTTGTATGTGGCAGACCTGGGTTCTATTTCCAGCACTGAATATAGTTGCACATATGCACTATGCACTCTCCCCCCCCCCCACAAAAAAAATCCCAACTTTACTTTTAAGAAAATTTTATTGCTAGTAGTGAAGAAAAATTTTAATGCAATGTTTTTATTCTATATATACTCTAGCATGGTAGCACTGTCCTCCCCTTGTTCATCGATTTGCTTGGTGTCTCACAACAAATTGTTAGACTTGTTGTTTCTGTTTTTGGCATAATGTTATATACAAATTCCTATAATTACATTTTTGTTGTTGTTGTTCGGTATTTCCTTTTTTTTTTAGTAGTTATTAACTTTAGGAAACGTAATTATATTTAGACTTTTTTTCTGGCAACCTAGGCACATAAAACACTACGGTATTTAATTGATTAACGAGCGATAGCACAGCGGGTAGGGCGTTCTCCTTACAAGCGGCCAACATGGCCGACCCGAGTTCGATTCCTCCGCCCCTCTCGGAGAGCCCGGCAAGCTACCGAGAGTATTCGATATGCCAGACACAGTAACAACAGAGTCTCCAATGGAGACGTTACTGGGTCCGCTCGAGCAAATCGACGATCAACGGGAGGGCCTTTACCTTTACCTTTACCTTTTATGTGTCACTGTCACTGTCCTCCCGTTGTTCATCGATTTGCTCGAGCGGGCCCAGTAACCTCTCCATTGGAGACTTTGTTGTTACTGTGTTTGGCATATCGAATACCTCACGGTAGTACGCCAGGCTCTGCCGGGCGGGCGAGATACTCTCGGTAGCTTGTGTAACAACAAAATAATAGAAAATCTCAAAAAAATTACTCAACAAAATACTCTGAATTACAATTGGAGACCATTCGTCTCTAAATGTATATTCATGTTTTATGTCTTTTTCTCGATCTCCATCAAAATCCTCTGCTATGAATGACGATATCTGTCAGCGCATTCACTTCCAGAACAAGAGTTAGCCTTCAAAGTGATCTTTCTCCCTCTTACTACCACCACAGTCTTTTTTAAATCGCCCCTTTAATTCCCAAGGGGGTAAAACAAACAAACAAACAAACAAACAAAACACATCCCGTTCCGAACTAAGCAAAAAAAAAAAAAAAAAAAAAACAAGAGGAAAGGAAACTTGGAACGCGTCGCGCGGGCGACCAGAACCGAAGTGAGCCAAAGCAGAGACCCTGACGCTTGGTCCGTCAGTGCTATTGGGAAGGGTCTGCGCTACTTGCCCACGGAGCCGGTCTCCCCGGCCCCGGGACAGCGGAGCAAAGAGCCGGTGAGCAGGCGGAGAAGAGCCAGGGGTCCGGTCCCCCGGGGACGGCCCGAAACACGCCAAGAATGCCAGAGCAATGTCAGGAATCTGGGAGCGCGGCTGCCGGCGCGACACCAGGCGGGTTTCTCGGCCCCAGCTCGGGAGGGCCCGCAACGCCGCGGAGACGCCTGAGGAGGGGGAACCACGTCGGAGAGTCGAGCCGCCCGAGGGCCACCCGCCAGCCGCGTCCCGGGGCGCACCGGCTCCCCCAGAGCGGGCGGCGCCTGAGGGCGGGGCGGCGGGGCGGGGCGGGGCCTCTTCCCCGCCCCTTCACGGCCCGCCGGGCTGCGTCCTCAGCGCGCCTGCGCCGGGGGAGGCCCGACTCCTCGCCGGCCGCCGGGCGTGCGGCGGCGTCTCTACCCGGCATGCCGCGCGGGCGCGAAGGACCTACGTCTCTCCCCTTCCCGGCCCAGCCTCCTCTCCCCCCTCCCGCCCCGGCCCCCCCCTTCCCCTAAAGTGAGTGAGACGGGCAGATGGAGGAGGGACTGTAATGGCGGCGGCCGGCAGCTCCCTGCTCTGACCCGCGGGCCGGCGTACGGCAACGACCTTCCCCTCCCACCTCGCCCCTCTCCCCCGCCGCCCTCCGCCCCGCCGCCCGCGCGGGGCCACCCTCCCCGGCCCTCCTCCTCCTCCTCTCTCCCCAACCCCTAACCCCCTCACCCCCCCGCCCCAGCCGTCGGCGTCTCGCCCTGCGCCCCGACCGGGGCCCCACACACAATGGACGAGCTCGCCGGAGGTGGTGGTGGCGGCGGCGGCAGCGGCGGCGGCCCGGGGCTGGCGGCCCCTCCAAGGCAGCAGCAGGGACCCGGGGGAAACATGAGCCTTTCTCCCGGGGGCAACGGCGCGGCGGGAGGCGGCGGCGGCGGGGGTCCTCCGGCCGCCGAGGGAGCGGCCCCCGCGGCAGGCCCCGAGCTGTCCCGGCCGCAGCAGTACACGATCCCCGGCATTCTGCACTACATCCAGCACGAGTGGGCTCGCTTCGAGATGGAGCGGGCGCACTGGGAGGTGGAGCGGGCCGAACTGCAGGTACCTGTCCGGGCTGGGCGTGCGGGACGGCGGCGGCGGGGTTCCGGGCCGGTGTGAGTGTGTGTGTGTGAGTGTGTATGTGAATGTGTGTGTGTGTGTGTGAGAGAGAAAGTGTGAGTGGGGAGGGGGTGGGGGGTGGGGCCGGGACGCCCCCTCCGCCGGAACTTGGCGGCGGCGGGGAGGCCGACCCGAACCTACCTGCGCGGCTCGGTGGGGGGGGCGGCGGTCCCGGCGACGGCTCGGCGGGCGTCCCCCTCCCCCTTTCCCGCAGAAGCTCGGCCCCCGGTCCTCAGTCGCGGCGCGGTGCGGGCTTCCTCGGGGCAGCCATTTTGGCTTTTAGTATGGCGTCTGCGGGGGCGCCTCGGGAGGCGGCCTGGCGGGGCGGCGGGGGCCCGGCGCGGGGCTGTCAAGCCTCGGCTCGCTTCACTTCAGCGCTTCCGGAGCCGGGAGCCCGCGGACGAGGTCGGGCGTGTGGCCCCGAGTGCCCCTCCGTCCCCTCCTCTCCAACCCCCGGTGCGGACTGGACCCGCCGGGTCGCTGGTCCCGGAGGGCCTCGCCTTAGCGCCCCCCCTCCCCCCAGCTTGACAGCCGCACCGCTCCGGGCGCCCTGACTTTGGCGCCCACCTGCCAAGTCCGCCGGTCTCCGCGCCAACTTGGGGATGTCTTCCCGGCGGCGCTGCCGCCTCCCTCCGCTTCCGTCCCTCTCCGCGCTGCTTGGGCCCGGGGCTCCAAGTGTTTCTTTTTTTCCCGAGAGCCCCTCTCGCCACATCTCTCCGGTCCCTCCTGGCCCCGTCCAGAGCCAAAGCCCCAACTCTTAACGGGGCGTGCGGGGCGAGGGGATCCCGCTCTCGCTGTCCGGACCCACGAGGGGGAGGGAAGCCCAGTGCAAGGTCCCCCTGACCCTTCGAGCACCGAGCAAGAGGGGCAACCGCCGCCGCCGCCGCCACCTCTGGGGGGTTAAACTCTTGGAGAAACTTCTCGGACCTAACTTTGGGGGAATGACGATCCCGTGGTTTTGCAGAATGGCGGTCTCCTACTGTAAAATGTTCAACTTTGGGGGAGTTGGGGTTTCTTTTCTTTCTTTCTTTTTAAAATTCCTTTGCTCGGCATTGCATTTAGGAGATGAGGAGGGCTGGGGAAGAGGCGTGTATCTAAGTAGGGGTGCACCTGTTCTTTCACTCTGGTAAAGAACATTGTGAAGCGCTGTTTCACACTGGTAAAGAACACACTGGTAAAGAACAGTGTGAAGTTAGGAGGTAAGCGCTCTTGTGCACTGACAGCTAACGTCCGTGCCTGCATCCTCTAGAAGTGTGGGGAGAAGTAAGATTTGGGTGAACTTCCAAAGGGTGTCTTTAGAGTGATCTCTTCCTTGTTATATTGAGCGAGTAGAACTACTTTGATTTTGATTCTCCAAAACCAAAATTCCCTTGAGAGAGTACTACTATTTTTGTGGCAACAAATTTCTTTTAAATAACGCCCGTTACAGTTCAGTGCTTTTAATTATTGGGGAAAGTTTAAGTTAAAAGGATGCGTTTAAATGTATGTACTGTCTGTTTTAGGTATCTGAGTACTGTCGAGTTCTTTTATGCAACTTTTTGTTACACCGTGTTACAAACTTACTGTATGTGAATGATGTTTGTAGCATTTGTTTTTAAAAATTGCACTTCACCATGCATTGAAGCACAGACTTACTAAATAATACTTAACCTACCCGAAATAGCGTTGGTGACCTTTGATACCCTTGTTGAAAGCTTGTATTCTTACACTTCCCAGTTAGATGTTCAGAAGCTTCACCAGTGTAAATAGCTGAGGAAATACTTGTGTTTAGATTAGTCAAATCTGTAATGCTGTTTCTGTCCTCTGTTTTAGTCCTTGCTTTCTCTTCGGGTTTTCTCCTCCTGCACGGTAACAGAAAAAAGTCTTGGGGGAGATCCTTTTGCTTTCTTGGTTTCAGTTAGTTCCTCATCTCTTGGCATATTAGTTCTGATAGTTACAATAAGTTTTTCTGTTTGCTTATTTTGAAGAAGTTCTATACAAATCATTTTTTATAGGTATTATTTCATAGTAATTCTTTTGGAATAGTTCATTTTGTTCTTTTCATACATTTCTCTAAAATGCATTATTGAGTCACTTAGTTAATAGGTTTTCAGTTTTCCTTTAGAATATTAAATTTGCTTTTTTGGGGGCCACTCTAGGGGTGCTCAGGGCTTACTCCTGGCTTTATGCTCAGAAATTACTCCTAGTGGTGCTTGGGGCAACCATATGGGATGCTGAGGATCAAAGCCTGGTTGACCACTTCAGGGCACTTCAATACCTGCTGTACTATCTCTTCAGCCTGTAAATTTACTTTTGTTGCCTTCAATTTTTAGTAGAATTGCTTGTGAGATATATGTTTACAACTGTGTGTTGAACAAACCTGTTGTGGAAAGGTGTAAGTGCAGTATTAATGAATTTTTAACTTTAAATATTTTTAAGAAAGCATAGGAATCACATGTTAACATACTATTAACATACTATCTATAGCCTTGGGTGAAATGCTTATTCTAGTCATCTACATACATGTTTAAATGGTCCAACATTAGAGTTACTTGTCTAGTAATAAACACAGGGAGGCCAAGGTCTTTCTAAATTGATATAAAATTTCAGTATGCTCTGAGTCTGGGGAGAATTTTCAGTTGAAACTTTGCAGTATAGTTAGTGTCTCTGTAAATTAAAGTAAAAGACTCTCTTCCTCATTCTCCAGCAGTTTGAATAAATTTGGTCTAGGACTTGGGAATAAACAGTTGTTTGTGGGGCTTTGGCTATTAATGCTATTATAGTTGCATTTTAATCAACCTTAGTTTTGATAACTTTGCCAACTTCGCCCAACTATGAAGTATTTCAGCTAAGAAGTGAATGCAGATTTATCTAAACTCAAAAGCCTAATAACCACTCTTGTAACCAAGTTTATGTTGTTTTCATAACTTTTTTTTTAATAGAAATGGATTCTGACTTAAGTTCTTTACCATTATGGGGCATAAAACACTTAAGTACATTTCAGCAAAAGTTTTATAAAACTTCCTATATATCTCTATATCTATATACACATGTATATAGATATAGATTTATATATCTTATTGCCAAACACAGTTAAAATACATATTATAAAACTGCATTTGGTAAGCAAAAATGACGTTATGGCATGTACAAATTTTTTTTTACTAATTAAAAAAATGTAGCTTAGATAACTGTCGCTGTCAGTGTCCTCCCGTTGTTCCTCGATTTGCTCGAGCAGGTCCAGTAACATTGTGAGAGTTGTTACTGTGTTTGGCATATCAAATATGTCACAGGTAGCTTGCTAGGCTTTGTCGTGTGGGCAAGATACTCTCTGTAGCTTGCCGGGCTCTCCGAGAGGGATCAAACTTGGGTCGTCCATGTTGGCTGCGTGCAAGGCCAACACCCTACCCGCTGTGCTATCGCTCCAGCTTGGCTCTGTGGGTTAGTGGATAGCGCATTGGACTTCTAGCTTAGATAATACATAAGCTATATCCAGGAGTTTGATTTTTTAAACTAATCCTGGTAAATTTTATTAAAATTAAAACATTACAAATATTATTCAATAATACGTGTTATTGGTATTTAGATTTGACATAGCATAGCACAGCAGGACAGACATTGCCTTTTGAAGATCTTTTTTCTTGTTCTTGTCTTTATTTTATTTTATTTTTTTGGACCACACCCAGCTTTCTCAGGGCTTACTCCTGATTCTGCCTTTAGAGATCCATCACTCATGGCGGTGTGTGGGGTACCATAAGTGATTGAACCTGGGTCAGCAGGTACAAGGGAAGTTGTTTAACTCTTTGTGTTCCCTGGCACCACTACCATGACCTTTTTACTTAATGACTATTTTCTGCTATTATCTTTGACTGTCCTTAAACTCTGGGGACCAAACCTGGGTCAGTTATATGCAAAGCAAGCACCTTACTTGCTCTACTGTCTTTACGGCCCTATTGCTTACATTTTATCATCTTTTCTATTACTTTTGCTACAGAGATCAGGGTTGCCTACCTGCCTTTGTATATATTGAGTGAATTATTCATTCTCATATAATTTAACAGTGAATATTTGAATGCTATTTGTGCTAGCCACTGCATATATAATAATGTATAAAACTGTGTCCTTGGGGCCAGAACCTAACAGGTTAGGGCTAAGTGGCTATCCCAGTTCAGTCCCTGGTACCACATATGGTCTCCTAGAGTACCCCCTGAGAACAGTCTTATCTCTGAACATCCCTGGGTGTGGCCCAGATTCCCTGACCCCCAAAATAGTCCTTGCTGTCTTTTCATTTATACTCAAGAAATAATAAAATTTGACAAGCCAGAATTTGATAGGATGCTAAGAAAATTAATAATAATTGGAAACCTATGTAGATAATGAACATTTAGCTAAAAAATTATTGAACACTTTCTTGCACCAAATTTTGTTTGAAGTTACTCATATCAAACTCTTCTAAGTCTCAAAACTCCTGAAGGATAAGCATACATTTAGAGTTGATGTACTCAGCTCTACATATTTCAGTTGTAAGAAACCATCATTAGCAGGAAAGAGCTTTAAGTGAGTGAACTTGACTGAGTGATTCAAGAGGAATAGTATTTTTTTGTCATGTTTTTTTCTCCATGAAATATATTTTATAAGATTTGGTGGAGGGTAGTAAAATAGAGGTAAGACACTTGCCTTACATGTAGCCAACCCTGCTTCGATCCCTGGCTCTGCGTATGCTTTCTGGAGTACTGCCAGGGGTCACCCCTGAGCACAGATCCAGAGCAAGGCCTGAGCACAGCCAGGTGTAACTTAACTTCCCACCCCCAAAATGAAGTAAAATTGTTTTTTTCTTTTCATCCTTCTCTTCCATCTTTTCCTCTTACAGACTTGTGTGTGTGAAGGCTTTATCAAAATTGAATAATTTTAAGTTTTATCGAAATTGAATAGTTACTAAATAAATCTCCATCAAAGCTCCCCAAATGTTATCAGCCTCTACAGGCTACGTTTTTTCATGAACTGTCATAAATCCATCATTTTCAACCAGTCTTTATTTTACATTGGGATTCATTCTTTGACTTTAACATTCTTTGGGTTTTTCAAAATGTATGATGCTACGTTATACATCCTTAGTAAGTATAGTTTCACTGCCCTAAAATTACTGTGCTTCACCTTTTCTTCTCCTACAAATTCCTATCAACAACTGCTCTCACTGTTTCTTTATAGCTTTGCTTTCTCCTTAATGTCATAATTGGAATAATATGATATGTAGCCTTTTCAGACTGATTAGTAATGTATGGTAAATTAGTAATGTATGTGCTTTAGATGTCTTTGTGACATAATTTTTCTTTTTTTAGTGCTAAATAATTTCCACTATCTGTATTTACCACAGTTTATTCATTTGCC